CTTTTCTGTCACATTTTGTTAAGATTTGACTCTGGTGTCTTCCCGGAACATGTAATTGACGTAATTTTAAATTTTTCGTGTGTATCAATGTATTCCCTATCATCTTGTTACCAACAGGGAGTTCAAGGGCGTTCGCCTATCTTTCCCTCAATAAACTGATACTGATACAATTCTACTGCATGGCTAACAGTCTATACAATTACATAAAGATGCAGATTTCGCAATTCGACCGGTATGCCGTGTGCCAGTATGCAAAAATTGACGGTGAAAATGCACTCTAAGTATCACCATTGCATACTTTCGATTGGCAGCTAGAGGGACACAAAAAGAAAGTTTCCGAGTGCATTGGACATCCTCCGGTGTATCTTGTGTGGCCTTCCAGATACGGATTTTTACGGGTGGGATCGAACAGGAGCAATACAGCGGGTTCAAAAAGTATATCACATAAAAATAGAAGATAGTAGATCTAAAAATAAATCTAATCAAAATCTAATATATGTAAGGACGAAAAACAAGAGGTAATTGAAAAATACACAAACACGTAAACAGAAAACCCTGCCAGAACCAGCCCCGCGCAGCTCCGGGACTGGAATGGGTTAGGATGGGCAACATAATGTTAGTATACACGTTAATTTATGAAGAAAATAAAAAAGTGAATAGGCTGCGGCTGAAATCTAGCTGGAGATTAAAAATACGAATTTATTCAGATCCATTTAAGAGTAACATTTATCCATATTGACATTCATATATGCGTTTACAGTCACTGGAGATCGTACTTATTTATCGATAGCATTTAGGTTCACGGTTCATGCAAATAAAAGATCCAGTGGAGGAAGGCGAGCAGTCTGGTGTCGTTTATCAAGTGCCATGTCATGACTGTTCTTGCCATTATACAGGGCAGACCGGGTGACAAATTAGCTCGCGAATAACGAAGCACAAACGGGCAGTGCGGAGAGGCGACCCACTGTCCCACATCGCTACTCATAATGTGGAAGAAGGCCACGAATTTGACTTGTCGGGCACGTGAATAGTGGCACGCGCCGCTAGTAAGACAGGGCGAGAACTACTGGAGGTCTGGGTGTCAGACTCCAACTCCATCAAGGGGCATGCGGATATCCCACCATATTATTTTGTCCTCCGTGCTTGCGACTCGAACCTACAGCCCAGTTCCTGTGTAGGCACGCAGGCTGCCACGCCAAGGTTGCACGCCATAACATCAAGGACGCGCGCAGAGGGGAAACAATGAGATGGAGTGTGCTTGGACCAATCACAAATGCCATCCCCCCA